ATTTATATATTTAACATAAAACTTGCTATTTTAGGGCTGGGGAGATAGCTCAGTGGTCTAGGCACCTGCCTGACAAGCACAAGGGCCTGGGTTCAATCCCCAGTACTGCACGCCATGCTGGCCCCATAACCCTGGGCACACCTTACTGATCACTGAAACCAGGCATGGTGGTACACACCTGTCATCCCAGCACTGGGGATGCTGAGACAGGAGGAGGATCACCTGAGCTGTGTAGTAAGACCCCGTACTTACCATTTTAACCATTTTAAGTGTGCCATTCTATGGCATGAGTTATATTCACAGTATTTTTTCCAAAACTTTTTTTTACCCCCATCATCAGGACTTCTGTACTCCTTAAGCAATAACTCCCTAGACTTTTTTTCCACCCAGCCCCCTGGAAACCTCTAATCTACATTCTGTCTTTTTAAATTTGCTTATTCTGAATATTTTATATAAGTGGAATTACAGAATAGCATGTGTTTCCTTTCATGTCCAGTTTATTTTGCTTAGCATAATTTCTGATTCATCCATACTGCAACGTATGTAAAAATGCCACTCTTTTTGTAAGCGAATACTTTTCTTTTGTTTACCCGCTCAGCTACTGATGGGCACTTGGGTCGTTTCTCCCTTTGGGTTATTGTGAATAATGCCGTAATGAGTACACAGGTACAAGTAACTCTTTGAGCCCCTGTTTCTATTCTTTTATATAGATAGCTAGTGGTGGGACTGTGGGTCACTTGACACTTCTGTGTTTGATTGCTTGAGGAACTGCTGAAGTATTTTCCACAGAGGCTGCATCATTTTACATTCTCACCAGCAGCCCAGAAGGGTTGCAGTTCTTTAACATCTTGGCCAACACTTAACTATTTTCCTTTCCTTTTAAAAAAACTATAGTCATTCTTAATGGGTATGAAGTGGTATCTCTCTGTAGTGCTGATTTGTATCTCTCTAGTAGTGTTGATCATCTTGTCATAAGATGACCATTTGTATATCTTCTTTGAGAAATGCCTGCCCAAGCCCTTTGCCCAGCACACTGAGCTTTTGCCTCTGTCATCGTGCAGCCGTGCCCTTCTCTCACAGAGCATGGGCAGAGCCTCCCTGGGAGGAGGGAGGCCATGCAGCTGCAGAGAGGGGAGTAGCTGTGGAGATTCTTTCCTGGTTTGCTTCATCCTTTGGCACCTTGGTAACCACTATCATAATGCTATTTGGGCTCCTTCCCCCAATTTTGCAGCATCCTGGGATCAGCACAAAGGGACTGAGCAGACGAGGCAGGGGGAGCCGCTCCTTGGGACCCCCGGAAGCAGACAGTCTTTCTGAGGTATTAGGCTGTGACTAAATGGAGTTGGATGTGCAGAACCTGGGTGGCCTATAGTGCTTACAAGTGCACGGGGCCAGGCCTTCATCTCCCCACTGGAGTCACACAGTGGGCCCTTGCTGGGTGCTCTGGGGCTCTGCTAGTCCTGGGTACCAGATAAGAAGGGAACTGTGGTGTTTTTCAGGACTGACCAGGGACAGGACACTTCTTCTCACGGACAGAGCAACCGGGCTCTGAGAAGGCCCCAGAGCAGACACCGGTGCCTTAATAACTGCAGCAGCAGCAGGGCGACAGAAGCCTAGTGTGCGCGCTGCTCTGCTGTTGGCCCGTTGGCTTTGGCCTTGTGTCTCTAGTGGGTCCCTCTGCAGGGCCAGGCTTGTTAAGCCAGCTGCCTTTTGGCTGTGAATTTTCTTCAGTGTCCCTGCAGAGAGGGGTTCACCATTACTGGGTGGGGCCCCAATACCAGAGGGAGGGAGGAGGCAGGGCCTCTGCCAGGCGCTCACCCTCTCTCTGGAAGTTACACTTCTGCTGTGCATTCCTAGGATATGGCTGTTCACCTTCCTTTGGGAGTACATGGAGGGCTGTGGATCCTCTGCCAGAGAAAGCCTGCAGAAGATGACCCATCCTTTTAGGTGCTTCAGGTCCACTAGTTCATTGAGGAGCCTGGGTTAAGAATTAGCTTTCCAGGGGCCGGGGAGATGGCTTAGTGGAATAAGCGCTTCCCTGGCAAGTGCAAGGGTCTGAGTTCAATCCCCAGTTCTGCAAAAAAAAAAAAAAAAAAAAAGAAAGAAAGAAAGAATTAGCTTTCCAGAGGACACAGCCAGAAGGGGGCACTTTGGAAGCCGACTACCATCTCCTGCTCAGGGGGTATAGGTGGCACAGGGTCCTGGTAGTCACTAGAAGGAAACAGGCAAGGACATCTTAATTATTCATGTTTTAACTTCCAATCACAGGGCATGCTAGGCTGAATGTGGTGCCCTGCCTTCCCAGCTGCAGTGGAGCCCTGCTTGTCACGTTAGATGGCATTGGAGAAGCTACGCACCTAGAGATGAAAGCCATCGACATCACTTCTGTCCCTGGGCCAGTCCATGTCACTTCTAAAGAGAAGACTGCTTTGTTTTTTCTTTCAGAAACAGCCCCCACATCTGCATACTCATCTCCAGCCCGGAGTCTTGGAGACACAGGAATAACGCCTCTCTCTCCATCCCATATTGTGGTAAGAGGCTGTGTGTGTGTGTGTGTGTGTGTGTGTGTGTACGGGCTCTCTGGGTTTTTTCTAACAGTGAAGGCTGCTGTGCAATGCCCATATCTGCTGGGTGGAGGTTAAGTGGACCCGTTGCCAGCCACATGGACACTGCCATGCCCCTGCCTCACCTGCGCTCAGAGGACTTGAGGTTCCAGGGTGGGGCTGGCGAGCCTAGAGCTGTTGGGTGTGAGTGGGGGTAGCAGGAGCCAGCAGGCGGGGAGAAGCTCCCAGAGACTGTAAAGCGTCCTCGTGGAAGGAAGGTGCTGGTTTTTGTAGATACGCCGGTGAAATGCAAGGGCTTTGCCCACTGTGCTTACCTGCTGTGTGCACGGGCCCGTGCTGGGTAATTGCCTCTGTAGCAGCTTGCCCAGGAGAGAAGGCCTGAGCGGGATTCGCCCCAGCCTGTGCTACAGGAAGAGGTGGATGGTGTGAGGCAGCTGTTCAAAGGGGTACATGAAGCCAGTGGGGACACAGCACCCGAAGAAAGGGCAGTTTGCACAGGCCTCTCAGATCCACCCAGATGCTCATCCACCTAGATGAGAACTTGGGCACCACCACTGTGTAGAGGGTGCCGCCTTGCCCCAGTTTTCATGGAATGGCCCAGTTTTATACCACAGTGCTTACTTTCTGGAAATTACCTCAGTCCTGGGAGAGCTGGGAAGGTTGGCTACCAGTGTTGTACCCTGTAGAAGCTTTGGAGTGCCACAGAGAGCACGGGCAATGGGAGGGCAGGCCAGGGAGCGGTGTTCTTGGCCCTGCTTCAGCCAATCCGGCCAAATCTAATGTGTGTTGGTTACATTTTATGGAATTCAAAAAATGAAAGAAAATCTACACTGCTTAGAAAAAGATACCTTGAGAAACCTAGAGTAACCTGTCCTCGAGACTTGATGGAAGCACAAGGCTCTGTGTGCCGAGGGCACACAGCTCAGGTGGGTCAGAGTGTACAGGCCCGGAGAGCTTGCGGGTGTGCCAAGCGCCCTCATGTGCATGAAACGCTGGGCCAGGTGGGGAGGCCTGTGGGAGGCCTGAAGGGCACAGCTGGCAGAGCACTCTTAGCAGTAGCTGGGGGTTGGCACGAGGACCAAGGGAGAGTGGGTGGAGACTGCGTATCCACAGAGTTGCTGGGCTTCCACCTGATGGCAGCATTTCTGTAATTAGCTGCGTGTACCCACACGTGATTAATGAAGGGGAATGGGCAGGCTGCAGGCAGAGCTTTCATCCAGTCAGCCTAGCTCTCCTCAGGGTGCCTGTGTGCCCTGAGCCACTCAGGGAGGTTGGGCAGGCCTGCCCTCACACCTGGGCAGAAGCATGGGGGGTCCGTCCTCATGCAGCAAGGGCACTGCAAAATGGAACTGCCCAAGGTTGGGGTCTTCCTGAAGGCCAAGCCTGGCCCTGGCCTCCATTGCCTACCGTCCATCTGCAGAATGATGCCAACTCCAACGTCTCAGAACAGCAGACTTTTCTTGTGGTGGTGGCGATCGACTTTGGAACCACATCCAGCGGCTATGCCTATAGCTTCACCAAAGAGCCAGAATGCATCCATGTGATGAGGTGAGTGCCATGATGGAGGGACCAGTGGCCTTATCTGTCACTGCACTGTGGAGACCCGGGGCATAGCTAGTCACTGCCGTGGCAAAGGCACTTGGAGGAAAACCCTGGGTTTCTGGTCCAGCTCAGCCCAGATCCTCTGTGCTGCTCCAGAGCTCCAGGTGCCCATGTGTTGGGTGTTAGTTTAATTCTGACTTAGTTGTCTGGAGAGGGATTGTGCAGTATGTTTGAAGCCTGGCCCTGGTAATTCCAGGATATGGCCTGTATGGCAGGAGCCAACCTCCTGTGATGGAGAAGAGTCCAGTGCTGAACCATCCACTTGCTGGGTGACCTCAGACAATTTCTGAACCTCGGTGTCCTCAGTTAAGCCTCAGTCTCCTCACCTGTAAAGTGAGTGTTCAGGCAGATTAAGTGAATGCTCAGCACACATATGAAGACAATGCCAGTGACAGTGGTGGAAAGCACCAAGCTTGGGAGAAAGCAGTGAGGCGTGACTCTCAGCCCCGTGACGTTAGCAGAAAATCTACCATTGACAGTAATGACAGGTCCTTTTGTGAAGCCGCTGGGCCTTCTTGGGGTTTCCTGTGTGAGGGCCCCCCACACCATCATGCTCACTGCAGCCCGTCAGGTCCTCACGCTGTGCAACCCCAGGATCCTGTGTTTGTGGGGTCTTTGGTCGGCCTTGGCACCAGTGTCACCTCTCCCAGCCTTGACCATGGCCTTTCTGTAGCATCTGCGCCCCTCAGAGCTTTGGAAACCTGGGATTTATCACCTTGATCCATGGTAACTGGCTTTGCATTTCCTTTACCTGAGCAATGATGGACTTCAGTCATGACTTCCAGAGTAAGATTTTAGGTCTCGTTACAGAGTATCGTGTATGACAGGAGCCATCCTACAAATGACTCCCGCTCAGCCTTGATTGAGGCCCTACTTTCTCTTGAACACTAGAGTGGCTCATCCTGTTCTGAGAAGCTCGAGGCCCCTGGGGGTGGTCTTATTGGAAAACAATGCAAAGCTGGACCTCGTAGTGACTCCTGACGACCCCGCACACCCCTCAGTGCTTGATTGTCCCTAGGCATCTACCTCTGCTGGGCCAGCCAGATGTTGCTAGTGCCCTCTGTGGTACAGCTCTTGAGTGGAAAAGAACAGAAATGCACACTTCTGAGCTTCCATGTGGCTCTAGGAAGTGTTTTTTCCATAGGATAGTCAAGCAATGAAGACAGTAAAAGAAACTTGGAACTTGGCCTGGAAAACACCTAAAGCATCACCATGGCTCGGGGCCTCTAGAGATATTATTGTAGTTACCGTAGAGATTCTGTGTGGAGCTTGGTTCTATCTCAATTTTATTTCAATCAGAACATATTAACCTAACCATGATACAGATTTACAAAGGTTTGAATGAGGAAGTTTAACACTTTGCATTTAAATAGGAATGAAAGAATAAAAACCTGAAGGGGAAACGCTCTTGGGGTCATTATCCACTGCAAATGTCACCATTGACAGTAATGACAGGTCCTTTGTGAAATGCAGTGTGTGCTGCGTGGCATAAGAATCATCCCTGTGCTGTCTGCATGCTGTCACCTCAGGGACTCTGGCTGCTGGGGTTGAGCCCTGCGTCTCGATGGAGTTTGACTGGGAAATTGGACAGGGATGATTCCAGGGCTGCCTGAGTGACAATCTTGCCGGAGGTTGGAGTCCATTTGGATGCCAGTGTCCCTGCTAATGCTTAGCAAGGCAGTGCAGGGAACAGGTTGGAGCTCAGCCTGGGTGTGGCCACCTCTTGTGGGGGGCAGGGGATGTGGCCCTCTCCCCTCCACAGCAGATCTCTGCCTGAGGCTGTGCCTGGGCCATGTGGCTAGGGCCGGGCTGGGAGCAGCCTGGGTGCTCAGTAGCTCTAGCTTCTGGGCAACGACTCCCAAGGAGAGAGGAAGCATGGGGTGATGCTGGCCTTCCACACCCACTTCCCTTTCTGTCTGTCTGAAGGAAGGGAGGAAGGAGGCTTCCCCACACTTTTCGGTCTGAGTGTCTGTACCTTTCCCTGCTTCTTCTGGCTCCTGCTTGGTATACAGCCATGCGGGTTATTTTCATCCTTAATGTTCCCCTCAGTCCTCCCTTCCCCTCTTGTCACTACTGCTATCTCCAAGATAAAAACTTGTGTCTTCAGCCCCCAAAAGTTTAGTACTGCACACCCCAGCGGGGCTCCCTCCTGGGGCAGGGCTGTCATCGAAGCTCAGTGCACTCTCTCCTCTCTGCTCCCCACCTTGCAGGCTCTCAGGCCCTGTGCTCTGTCCCAACAGGTCCTAGTGGTTGTCCGTTCTCCCTGGGCCAGCTCCCTGTCCCCCATCTCCACCTGTCCCCACCATGGCTCTGCCCTGTTCCCGGGCTAGACCTGTGCTAATTCTCACTGACTCCGGGTTCCCTCCTGTCACTCTCCTTTCGTCCACTTTGCTCTATGAACAGCAGTTCTGATTCTGCCCTGCCCTTGCTCAGAGACCTTCCATAGTGCCTGTGGTCCGTGCCTAAGTCCTCAAGGTCCTCCCCAGCCTCGTTTGCAGTCTTTCTTCTCACAGTTCCCCCTTACACAGCCACTCTTCTCATTTACATGCTCTGGATCTGACCAACACAACCACAAGGATCTGTGCAGGCCTGGCGCCTGCTTACCTCTGAGCAGCCTGCATGTCCACACTTACAAATTGCCCCTCCCTCCACCCCAATTACTTAACAGACTGTGAGTTATTTGAAGGCAGAGACATAATGTTTCAGCCCTATGTCACCAGCATGTGGCATACAGTAGCGGGTCGGTAATGCTGAGAAAAAGGACAGAGGCAGACCTTGTTACTGAGCAGCAGTGTGGCATGCACCCCCTCCTTTTTCCTTGTTAACTGCAGTTGTGTCTCCAGCCACTGTGTAGCCAGCTGGTCTGGGGTGTGTCTTAGTATCCTTGCCTGTGACAGTCATGCATACAAAGATATTGCCTGAGCTGGGGTTTTAATGAAGTCCCCATAACCTCTGTTTCCCTTTGGCGGCAGGCGATGGGAGGGAGGTGATCCTGGTGTGTCCAACCAGAAGACCCCGACCACTATCCTGCTGACCCCCGAGAAGAAGTTCCACAGCTTTGGGTACGCCGCCAGGGACTTCTACCATGACCTGGATCCCAATGAGGCCAAGCAGTGGCTGTACCTGGAGAAGTTCAAGATGAAGCTGCACACTACAGGGGTGAGCAGGCCTCTTTCCAGGACCGAGTTCTCTGCTTAAGAGAGCCATGGGCCATCCAGCCTTGCAGGGGGTGTGAATGCATCTTTCCAAACCAGGGGGCCCTCCACTGTCCCCCAAGCAGAGATTAATGTCTATTCATCTTGATTTTAGAAATGGCACAGTGCTTTCTGGATTACATGTGGGCAGGGCGATATTTAGAATATCTAACAACCTGTCTGTCACAGGGGACCCTGGCTGCTGCATAGGTAGAGGGGCTGGGGTCCTCTGCTGTTCCAGGAGTCCCCTTCAGCTGTTGGATTATTGGGAGATAATAGGAGGCAGCTCAGGGGTGGGGGAGCTTAGCACAGTGGCTGTTAACTAACTAGTTTGCAAGAAACAATGGCTGACAGCTGGCAGGTCAGCCCGCGGTATGGTAGGAGCTCAGGACGTTGAGTGTCCGGGAACTAGAGGCCCAGATACCCACACTGTGGCCTCAGTTCTTCTCGCAGTAAACCTGTGTCCTGTGAGCTGTAGAAGATAAGCTCTCCACCACCCTGACTCAAAGCTTGTGAGAAAGGGAAGTCTGGGGCACAGGATGGAAGTTTTTCAAATTAAACATTTTATCCTGTATCAGTGGCAGCAAACCTGAGGCATACATGCTCCAGTGGATTAATGCATCACCGAAAGTGCTAAAAGGTTCCCCATCACTGATGTACATGTTCCTTCATGCTCAGAACTTAGAGACACGGGTGGTATGAATACTGTTTAGGACCAAGGGCTCTGGAGCCAGGTAGCCTCGGTCTAAATCCTGCTTCTGGTACCTGCAAGACCCATATGTGCAAGACACCTGCTGTGCCTCATCTGGCTGTGTCTATAAAATGGGGACAGCGAGAGCGCCTTGCTCTTGGGATAGCGTAAGGATTAGAGGAATCCAGATGCATGAGTCTCCCCAAGCTGTGCCTGGGACAGGATATGTTCTAGCCAAGTGCTTGCTCCTATCAGCCCCGCTTTCCTTGCAGAAGAGCAAAAAACCGCTGTGGGTCGTGAGCTCCACAGGCAGCCCCCGCCTTCCACCCACCATGCTTATCCTGTGGGTCTCCCTGTGTCAGGGCTTCAGGGCCCATTTCTCCCAAGAGGGCTGGATGCTAAGCATCAGGACTGTGGAGGTGGAGGCCGCACCGAGATCTTTTCCAGTTCAGAGAGCCAGGGCTTTCTGGTGTTCTGCCACCTACTGGGCCTGGCAGCCCCAAACTGGACTGTCTTTGCTGGGCACCAGGAGAAGCGGTGGCTAGATGGAGAAGCGAGCGCAGGCCACGGGTTGGGACACCCCTGGCCTGCCACATAAGGCTGGCTCATCAACTGCCGAAAAGGCACAGCATAATCATCTGCCCCGCGTCAGTCAGAGGCCCCACTGATTTTTTTCCACTGGCAGTTATGACCTTGTTGGTTCAGGGACTTCCTCCCGGTTTTTACTCCCACTTCCTGCTGATCCTCCATCCCACAGGGACTTTCCTCATCAATTTTTAATGACCTCTGTCCAGCCAGCATCTGGGACCTGCAGAGCACCATTTGTCCAAGGAGCATGCGCAGCAGTGGATTTAGCTGCTGGCAAAGGAGGGGAGGCAGTGATGCCGGGCAATGCTGGGCTCCCAGTGGATTAGACAGGGCAGGCCTTAAAATAGGAGCTTTTCTATTTTTGTGACTTGATTGGCAGCTCGCTAGGGAATAAAAGCTTCGTGTCTGTTTAGTGTCATGCGTGGTAGTGAGTTGGCATGATTTAAACCTCCGTGAGTGCTTCGGAGGGCGACTGTATATACTCACATGTGGGAAATAAATGTAAATTACTCTGGGTATGACACCTGCTCTGTGTTTTTTCCCCTGGCCTCTGCTATTTCTCCCAAACCTTTGTTTTCAGAGACTCCAGGGTTGGTGGGGACAGCCAGAACCCCTCACATATGGCAAGTGAAAATGCTGCCAAGCCCTGTCTCAGAGCACCATCCTCATCTGCCTTATCAACCACAGGGGAGCACAGATATGGCCCTATGACTTCTCAATGCAGCAGTCCCCAAGGCCAAAAGCATGTCTTTCCTTTGTCTTATGATTATTTCATTCCATCTTTATCCCCACCAGGACCTCACCATGGATACAGACCTGACGGCAGCCAACGGCAAGAAAGTCAAAGCCCTTGAAATCTTTGCCTATGCCTTGCAGTACTTTAAGGAGCAGGCACTGAAGGTAGGACTGATGGTTGCCGCCAGCAGCCATGTGTAGGTGGCAGCACATATGCCAGCGAGGAGGGTGTACAGCCTGGAAAGAGACAGCATGGGCTTTGGAGCCAGAGTGGCAGGGTGCTCCCTCAGACACTGCTGGGGAAGGTGCAGAACAGGGCCGCTGCCTTGGAAACCAGTCAGGCAGTTCCACAAAAGGTTCAACACAGTGTTGCCACGTGGCCCAGCAGTTAGCTTCTAGCTATGCACTTAAGGGAAGTAAAAGCCTTGGTCAACGTTCATGACATGAATGTTCATAGCGTCACTGTTCGAAATGGCTCAGAGTGGAAACAGCCTGCCCAGATGCCAGCTGATGAACGCAAAACCCAAGCGTGGTGTCTCCACGCAATGGACTGGCACTCAGCCACAGAAAGGGGTGCAGTGCTGATACTCACTACAGTGAGGATGAACCTTGAGAGTATCGTGTGAAATAAGCCAGGCACAAATGGCCTCATAGTGTGTCTCTATTTGTGTGGAATGTCCAGAACAGGCAAAACCATGGAGTCCGAACAGGGGCTGGCGGCTCCCAGGAGCCAGGGCGCAGCAATGAGGAGCGACCTCCGCGGGGCAGGTGATGCGGCCACATAGCAGGGTTGGCCGCGCCGTCTCGGGCACGTGCATGTGCAGAGGGCGCGCTGTATCGTGTGCGATTGCACTGAGGAAAATAAATAAATAAAAACCACAAGAGGTGGTTTTGGACAAAGCCATTGATCTTTGTGATCCTTTCCTACTGGAGAGTGGGGTGAAAAGTTGTACTCTTGGGTTGTTTGTCGTTAAATGAAAACTTGGACAGCGGTCCCTCACGTACATATTGTCGAGGCTACATTCCAGACACCCCTGATGAGTGAAAATCAGCAAAGTAGTGATGGTATATTTATTTTAGTATTTATATATATTTTAGGGCTTTATAAATGCTTCCCACACTTATAAACCTTTCTTTCCCACACTTTTAAAAACACTTCTAGGGGCCGGGGAGATGGCTCAGTGGAATAAGCGCTTCCCCAGCAAGTGCAAGGGCCTAAGTTCAATCCCCGGTTCCGGAAAAAATAAAATAAAACAACAACAACAAAAGAAAAAACAGCAAAAGTGTTTAAAAAACAAAAACAAAAACAAAAAACGCTTCTACTGTCCTTAAGCATTTTCTAGCTTCGAACACCTGTGTAATTTTAACAACCTACGTATACTGTACGGTACTGCAAAGTCCCACGATATAGCAAAAAATCCGTGATAAATAATTTAGATAGAGGGCTGGCCAAATAGCTCAGCAGATTAAAGTGCCTGCTTAGGCAGATGCAGGGTCCGGGAGTTCGATCCCAGGGCCTGCCATGCTGGCCTTGCCCGTGGGGTGCACTGAGATGGCGATTGAGACGGGGCATGGTGGCACACGCCTGTAATCCTAGCACTTGGGAGGCTGTAGACAGGAGGATCACTAGGAGTCCAATCTACGCAGTGAGACCCTGTAGACCCTGTCCTAAAATACAATTTTAAAAAATAATAATATAGATTAATATTTTTTGAAAATCCTCAAAACAGTGAGTCTGTGAAAATCAAACTGCGAAATAGTGAGGGACCACTTGCTGTGAAGTGCTTCCCTCAGGGCCTGGTGTGTGGTGGCCAAGCCTGCCATCGCTCCCCTCTCCCCTGTGCCCATGGCACACCCTTTGGGATGTGCACATCTAAGTATCCCTTGGGTCACTGCTGTGTCTGGCAGTGTCCCCTAAAGGCTCATGCATTGGAAACCTAATCCCTAAACTCACATATCAATGGCATTTGCAAGTGACCTTTGAGGTGTCATTAAGGCTAGAGGGGTCTTGAGTGTGGGCCGCCCCTGAATGGCTTTATAGGAGGAACCGAGACCTGACCCAATGTGGCAACCTGCGCACGGCTTTTGAAACCCCACGTCAGCCTGCAGCCAAAGAAGATGGAGTGACAGCAAATAGCTACTTTGTGTTGGCTCAAGGCAGAGGCGTTTTGAAAACCATATTTTAAAACAATTTATTAAATACACTTAACACCACAGAACTGTACACTTAAAAATGGTTAAGATGGTAAATTTCATGGTACATGTATTATCATACTTAAAATTTTAGAATTTTAAAAGACAAAAAACAAAACAAAACAAAAAACACTTAGCTGCTCAAAGAAGTTGGTTCACTGAGGAGTAAGTAGATCGGATCCAAGAGAGCTACTTGAAACAATAGGGAACAGGAGACACCATCAGGAAAAGTAATTGTTTAAAAGAAAATCCAGCCCATTTATTAAAATCAGTCCCCCAACTGCCTTTGGTGCGGAAGAGCCTGAGTGTATTTAGTTGGATTTCAGATCTGCCTGGTGAGTGTGGCGTCAGGAGGGGAGGGAAGGCAGGGTCTGACATGAAGGAGAGGCCGCCTCCAGGCCAGACATTCCATGTGTTCTTTATTTAATTTTGCTAATAATGCTGTGAGCTAGTTTTATTTTATTTTTTTTTTCTTGAATTTTTTTATTGGTACATTTTATATATACATAGTGATAGCATTCATCATAGGGGAATTGTACCTTGCTTCAAAAAATAGTTTCAAGCATTTTTTTT